CCCAGGTGTGCCCAGGTGTGTTTTCCCCCTGCCCAGGTGTGCCCAGGTGTGTTTTTCCCCTGCCCAGGTGTGCCCCAGGTGTGTTTTCCCCCTGCCCAGGTGTGCCCCAGGTGTGTTTTCCCCCTGCCCAGGTGTGCCCACCTTGCTGCAGGATGTAGCCGTCGTGCACGGGGATGGCCGTGGTGTGGGTGGCCCCCGAGTCCAGCACCAGCCCCGTGCTGCGGCCGTTGGCGAAGCTGCGCCGGTCAAGGGCCACGCCCGGCCACGCCCTGGGACTGACCACGCCCCCGGCCACGCCCAGGGACTGACCACGCCCTGGGACTGACCACGCCCTGGGACTGACCACGCCCTGGGACTGACCACGCCCCCGGCCACGCCCTGGGACTGACCACGCCCCCGGCCACGCCCCGGGACTGACCACGCCCCCCTAGCCACGCCCCGAGGACAGCGGTGACACAGGGGGACACTGGGGTGACCCATGGGTGATACTGGGGTGACATTGGGGTGACACCAGGGTGACACTGGGAGGACACCGGGGATGACCCGTGGGTGACATTGGGGTGACACTGGGGGTGACAGTGGTGGTGACACCTGGGTGACATTGGGATGACCCAGGGGTGACCCATGGGTGCCATTGGGGTGACACCTGGGTGACATTGGGATGACCCAGGGGTGACCCACGGGTGACATTGGGGTAACATTGGGATGACACTGGGGGTGACAGTGGGTGGCACAGGGGTGACATTGGGGTGACACTGGGGATGACCCATGGGTGACACAGGGGTGACATTGGGATGACCCAGGGGTGACCCGTGGGTGCCATTGGGGTGACCCAGGGGTGACACCAGGGATGACCCGTGGGTGACATTGGGATGACACCAGGGTGACACTGGGGATGACCCATGGGTGACATTGGAATGACCCAGGGGTGACCTATGGGTGACACCAGGGTGACATTGGAATGACCCAGGGGTGACCCATGGGTGACATTGGGGTGACACCTGGGTGACATTGGGATGACCCAGGGGTGACCCATGGGTGACATTGGGGTAACATTGGGATGACACCAGTGGTGACCCGTGGGTGCCATTGGGGTGACCCAGGGGTGACACCAGGGATGACCCGTGGGTGCCATTGGGGTGACACCTGGGTGACATTGGGATGACCCGTGGGTGACATTGGGATGACCCAGGGGTGACCTATGGGTGACACCTGGGTGACATTGGGATGACCCAGGGGTGACCCATGGTGACATTGGGGTAACATTGGGATGACACCAGTGGTGACCCATGGGTGCCATTGGGGTGACCCGTGGGTGACACAGGGATGACCCGTGGGTGACAGGGGTGACCCGCGGGTGACCCGTGGGTGACGCCGCGGTGACGGCAGGATACGCGGTGAGCACGGCTGTCTTGCAGAGGAAGAAGGCCGGGATGTTGTAGTGCTCGAACATCAGCTCCGTCAGCTTCTCCCGCTTGGCCCTGGTGTTCCACTGCGGCACAGGGACGTTGGGGACACCGGGGGACACCGGGGGACACCGGGCACGCCGCGGGCCCCGCGCCGGCACCTACCGGCGCCTCGGACATGAGCACCGGGTGCAGCCCCGGCTCCGACTTGACGTGCTTGCCGTAGGTGTGGTCCAGGATGGCCTGGAAGCACTCCCAGTCCTCGACTGCGGGGACACACGGGTGGCACCGGGGACACCGCCGGCCACGGGGTCCCCTTCCCCCGCCGCTGTCCCCCATGTCCTCACTGTCCCCCCATGTCCTCGTGTCCCTCCATGTCCCTGCTGTCCCCATGCCCCCCGAGTGTCCCCATGTCCTCACTGTCCACAATGTCCCTGCTGTCCTCCCACTGTCCCCCATGTCGCCATGTCCCCGTGTCCCCTCCGTGTCCCCGTGTCCCCACTCACTCATGCTGTTCCCCCATGTCCCCATGTCACCGTGTCCCCTCCGTGTCCCCGTGTCCCCACTCACTCATGCCGTTCCCTCATGTCCCCATGTCCTCGTGTCCCCTCCGTGTCCCCGTGTCCTCACTCACTCATGCCATTCCCTCATGTCCCCATGTCCCCCCCATGTCCCCGTGTCCCTGTGTCCCCGTGTCCCCTCGGTGTCCCCTCCGTGTCCCCGTGTCCCCACTTACTCATGCCGTTCCCCCATGTCCCCATGTCCCCTCGATGTCCCCATGTCCCCTCGGTGTCCCTGTGTCCCCTCGATGTCCCCGTGTCCCCTCGGTGTCCCCGTGTCCCCTCCGTGTCCCCGTGTCCCCACTCACTCATGCCGTTCCCCCATGTCCCCATGTCCCCTCGATGTCCCCGTGTCCCCTCGATGTCCCCGTGTCCCCTCGATGTCCCCGTGTCCCCTCGGTGTCCCCGTGTCGCCACTCACTCATGCCGTTCTTGAGCGGGGACAGGACCTCGACGCCCTCGCGCGCCACGTGCAGCGCGTTGGTGTCGATGTAATAAACCTTCCCGCCCTTCTTGTCCTTGTCCCCGTCCAGCTCCAGCGCCACCTCGTCCGGGGACAGCAGCCCCACCGTGGTGGGGAAGTCGGCCTTGGGGACACCGCGACGGGGACGGTGGC